ATATATATATATATATATATGTATGTAGAGAGAGAGAGAGAGAGAGAGAGAGAGAGAGAAAGAGAGAGAGAGAAGAGAGTTAAAATATATATAATATACTTATATAGTTCAAATATATTGTACTGTCAAATATCTAATATATAACAATTTAATCAATAATTTAATTTGAAATATAACTTTCATACCATTTTTAAACTATTATTTAAAATCTTTCCAATAAAGTTTATAGTACTAATTTATTAAACGTATTAATGAGTTTTTAATATTCCAAGTTCACTAAAGGAATAGCAATATGAATTTCGATTAGCTTAAAGATAACTTCATATTTTCGATTTTTTCTTATAGTCTGATTTTTCATTAAATACATAGTACATACTCTGTGGTTTTGTGTAGTTTCTCCATCGTACTAAAATGACCTCGCTGTACTGTAAAGAACTATAATTCTACGACACGTACAGCAGATTTTACTCGACGTTCGAGAAGTATCATTTACCCCATGCTGAATGGGTATTTTTCATTGCGATGGGGAAATGGTATGTTTTACGGGAGGTCAGATATAATTTAGCGTTCAGTGTTGTACTGCTTACTTTGATCTATAGATCTCGCATTCGTGCTATGCAGTGTCTAGCGTTCACATTTTTTAAATATTCCATAGTTTATCATTCTGCTGGTTCTAACATTATGCGACTGAACTAACATAACTCGAAATACCGAAGTAAAAATTGTGGTTTAATTGATGGTTTCCATTGAACTCAGTGCATTCGTGTTTTAGTGTTGAATTTGTTGATTATAGCTCACTTTCTGTTGAATATTACAGTAAATTCTTCCTAATTTTCTTTCAGCGTGTAAACAAAAATTGACAATTTGGGAAGAGGAAATATGATTATTCCAGCCTTGCACCGTGTTTTCATAATTGTTGACGATTGGCAACTATAAAAATGAGCCGCGAGGCTCGAATAACCGTATCCCCACTTTCCAAATTGTCCATTTTTGTTTAGAAGCTAAAACAAAAAATTGGGGAGAATTTACTGTACTTATTTTCATTGTTTTTGACTTTCTCATTCATTTTTTATCGCTTCTTGTTGACCCAAGTTCATATTTTGTTGAACAGTAGCCCAGTTTCGTTGACTTGCCCCGTTCCGTGTGTTTCATTTTTATTGCTTTCTAAGGATTTGGGACACTATTTGAAACATTCTAGTGTATTTTAGCACCTATTTGATACGTTTTTGTGTATATTTGTACATTTTCATTCACTGTTAATCTATTTAGTTTATTATGATTTATTTTTCTTAGTTTCGTTTCATTTTTGTTGAATGAAAATTCTACATTATTAGTATTAATTCATTTATTATTAAATTTATTCAACAATTTAAATTAATCAATTCAGTTAGTTTTATTTTGATCTAATTTATTTTAATTTCAATAGCTAATTACTAGACTGCGGATCTTTTTGCAAAATACAAACTGTCTGTATCTGTTGTACAAAAAAATAGAAATACCTTAAAAGTTGCAATCTTTCTTTAATAATTTTAGGGAGTCAATTAAATTAAATTAATTAAATGTTTATAATCTTTTTAATGTCCGACCTATTTTTTTGCCGTAACTGCATAAAATCCTAAAATCTGCTAACTATTAATTGTATTCTGAGAAATTTCAAAGTATTTTTACGACCGTTCCAGGTTGTCCTGCGCTGCAATTTTAAATTCGAAAAAGAGAGATTCACTCCGCCGAATGGCACGCGATTGGACATGGTCGTCGCGGGGTGGAACTGAACGGAAATGGCAATAGGGCTGACCACAGTACTCAGCACCACCTCGATCCTCGGATTCAGCATAATTCCTCTCCTGGCTATCGGCTTGTCCGTGTTTCGATACAACCAAGCCGATCCGGAGTCTCATCCGACGAACGCACGTCAGGTTTGGTTTCAAACTTTTTGCAGGATGTTTAAGAAAAATGGTGTTCGATGCTTCATATTTGAATGGCATGTGGTACAGTAAATTCTCCCTCGGCTTGTACACAAAAATGGACAATTTGGGAAGAGGAAATATGATTATTCGAGCCTTCCGGCTCGTTTTTATAGCAACCGATTGGCAACAACTATACCGAGATGAGCGAAAAATGTCTGATCAACATAAGTCCGAAAGCAAATTCTTTTCTTGTGAAATCAACTTAAATGTTGATAACTATTGTAAATAATGGTAAACTATTTAGTGATGGTTAGACTGCGGATTTCATACATTTATGGCAAAATCAGGTAAATGAAATAAAAAGCATTGAGGATATCAAAAAAGTTTAAGAATCTTTCTATCAACCGAATATTTATTATTACTGGTTTATATCATAACTAGATTGTGGATTTTTATGCAAAATAAAAATTGTTTAGGTTGATTGTAAGAAACAGAAATTAGATGAAAATGTCTTTATAATAATAATAATTATTATTATTATAATTAAATAAAATTTATAATTTTATATTTTATCGATTCATTTTTGTCATAAATGCATAAAATCCGCAGTCTATTCATTAGTAAGAATTAATTGCAATGGTAAAAATTAGAAATAAGGTGTTCATTTAACGAATAATTAAGGTTATTTTCATCAATTGGAGCATTTTCTGTCATTTTAGTCCACGAGGGACTAATTCATACTTCTGCAAAGTTTCATCAAAATCGGCGTGTATCAGTTTTACCAATCCTACCACTAACCCTTGTTAGTGACTTGTAAACCTAGTGTTAGTAACAAAAGAAGAAGAACTTGTAATTTCAATTTGAGTCGGTTAAATCGAATTTACATGGAAGGGTTAAAATAGATCTGCTCACAGAGGGTTAAGGTCAAGAATTAGGTATCTTTGAAAGTCCCGTGTTGCAGCAGGTGAGGTTCCTAATTATACGGCGTCGAGACTTTCTCCTTGCAGCGCGGGAAAGTATGGTCGCCCACGCTGTTTTGCACCAACCATTCAGTCAAAGATGACTACAAAGCACGGAAAGTTCCGTGCATATCCGCTAAAAAGCAATTCGCCAAATTCCAAGCTCCTTTCAGCGTTTTTAACGTTTTCAAACCGCCGTTTTTATGTCACGAATAGGATAGAGAGGCCGGTCACCGTGAGATGACCGATTGTTGTGCCTTTAGTTTGTTTGCGGGCATAATTAACCAAAATAAAAGACGAAAGAACAAACCGTTGACCACTTCACAACCGTTGACCGCTCCACTAGCCTAATTGACATTTTCTTTTAATGAAAGGAAAAAGTAGACAACTAGACGTCGTTAGACAGAGAAACCTTTTTTTTTGCATAGATGAATACACTCGAACCAGTTTTTGTGCCACTTTCTTTGTACAATTTTTTTTGTGCGACTCTTGTTGTGCGATTTTTGTACGCGGTATATGAAAAATGTTTCCTCAAAATTCATAATATGCATAAAAAGTGTGCAATAGAAAGTAAGGAATGTAAAGATTACTTTGTCGTAAGATTGTCTGAATGTCCAAATGTATTTCATGATCATGTTGTATATTTTATCAATTGCACATCTGCACATTTACATGTTACATCATAAAAGAAAATAAGTCAATTCAGAACGAGTGCGAGGTAGTTTTCCCAAGTGACGAAACTTATTTTGAACCACGTAGTAATAATAAGTAGCGGTACAAAAGAATGTTATTAAAAAGAAATCAGTAAGATAGTATATACTATATAAGACGTTCAAAAGTCTGCACATTTTGAAAATTTTCTATGCGCAGAAAAAGTATGTGCATGTGTAAATTAAATATTTAAAAATATAAATTGNATAAATAGCTTGCAATTTCTGTTTTCTTCAGCCAATTATTTTACTTTATATATTGTTTAATGTCCATGTTGAAGAAAGAATAATTTGCTTAAAGAATAAAATACGATTTAATAAATCACAATTTAATCCACTTTAGTATCTAGAAACTTTATATGTGTGCAAACATAAAACATCTATATTCAATATTTACCATAAATTCAATTATTGTCTCTATTAATACTACATATATACAGTTAGCATTAAATTTAGCAAATATTACAATCAACAAATTTCACCAAATTACACAAACTTAAAATTTTAGATCCTTACCCAGCGTCGATAAAGTAGATTTCTCGTCATTAAGATCTGCAGAATTTCTAAATTTCTGCCAATTTCAAGTTTTTCCCACGTGACGAATAAGATTTACTAAATTATTGTAAATATTCCGTTACAGCTGCTGAGAACATATGATTTCATAGTGGTGGGCGGTGGGAGCGCGGGGGCGGTTGTCGCCTCGAGGCTGTCCGAGATTTCGAATTGGACGGTGCTACTTTTGGAGGCCGGCGGCGACGAAAATGAAGTCACAGACGTGCCAATTTTGGCTGGATACACACAGCTCACGGAGTTCGATTGGAAATACCAGACTTCACCACCGATCACGTCCGCTTATTGCCTTGCCATGATCGGCGACAGGTGTAACTGGCCCCGGGGTAAAGTCCTTGGCGGCAGTAGCGTGCTGAACGCGATGGTATACGTTCGGGGTAATCGGTAATTTTGAAGAAATTGCAATTATTATTTTCACACTATGCTCGGTTGACAAAACGATGATATTGCGTCTGTATCTCTAAAATCGAATACGGTACAGCTATGTGTGAGCACACTGTCTCATACGTGAACATGAACATATTCTCTCCATGACAGTAGAAACTTCGAGTCCGCAAAGTTGCAGATATAGAGATGCACAATATTCTCTCAATAACTGCAGAAACTTCGGATCTGCAGAGTACCCCAGTTATACTAGAGATACAATATATTTTACATAACTGCAAAGATGTCGGTTCTTAGGAGTTACAGTTACGGTAGAGATGTATTATTGCCTCCACAACTGTACAAGTTTCAAGTTCTTAGAGTTGCAGTTATAGAAGAGACCTTATTTAAAAACCTTATTACTAATTGTTTCCATCTCAGACATTCCATTGCCAAGACAGACACAGTGTATAGTAACTGCAAGATACAATCAGGACTTGAAGAATTCTAGATTTATTAGTAAATAGCAGTCAACAATTCTTCCTACTCGATGCATCTCAACTTAAAACTTTGAACTTCGTACACACGTTTCGAAATTATGATAATTGGGAATATCAACTTTTTTGTAACTTTCACATCACACTTCCAATACTCTCGTATCAAAGTTCTAGGTGCCCGAAGGATTGCTTTGATAGCTTTCTGTAGCATCCTCTTTTAAATGTTCTGTAAAATCACATCAATTGTATAGTCAGAACGATAATAGTAGTTTGTCTTTATAAATGATTCCCTTTAAGGTTATGTCATAACTCTGACAACCCTTCTTTAAGCTCTAACATACCCTAATGTCTTCTTAGTTCTGCTTAACTTACCCCAGACCTAACCTAATTTACACTAACCTCTTCCAGTCGCTCTCCCAATCACTCTCATGCTTTCCATTCAGCCCCTACACGTTCTCTCCTTCCCTCACCCCCCACAAAAATCTCACAAACAACCTTTTGCCATCGTTTTACCCCATCTCCTTCCATACACTCGCATAAACTGTATAAAACTAAGTCTTTCCATAATCGTCCCACAAATCATGGTCAGACGTCGCAAAACTCGGCTATCAAATATTTCGTTCCACCCTATCATTGGACCTTAACCCCTTGACATACCAATTTCTTCGCAGTTACTGCGATTAGAAATTTTTCGATTACCATAATTTCATAGAAGGGAAAGAAAATTGATGCTTATCGTGTGCCTAAATTTACTTGAATGCTTAAATATTGATGATAAGAGATTAGAATTTTATTCAAATTTTAATGGACAGAATAACATATATATTCAATAAGTTATTATTAGAAATTTTCATGACGAGTCGGACTCGTCAAA